CCTCCCCACCCGGGAAGTCTGATTAGAGACTCTGGACTCCCAAACCCCGAAACGTCAGAAAACGAGGCCTTACTATGTAAGTGAGCAGCACCCTATTATCATTGGTGACCATCTGTAATGGTGTTTGTAACTGCTTAACTGTATGATGGCTTAAAGGGTTTTTCTCATGCTCCTGCTGACCAGGGTTGGGCTGGAGAAGAGGGAGGCTAGGATGGTCCGCCCAACTCCCTTGTGGTGCTGGTGCTGCGTGCAGGGATCATGCTCAGTGCCCTCCTCCTGACCTCAGTGCCCTCCTCTTGACCCCTTGCGGTTTCCTCGTATCCTTTTGTTGGAGGAGCATTAGTTCAATGGCATTAAGTATATTCACATTGTTGTGCAACCATCATCACCATCCATCTCCAGAAATTTTCCATTTATCCTAAATAGAAACTCTCCTCCCATTAAATACTAACTCCCAATTTTCCCCTCTCTCTAAACTATACACTTAAAATGGTTTAAATGGTTTTAAAAGTTAATGAAAATAAATAAATTTTAATACATAAATAACTAAGATACTTTTAGTGAGAGTTGGGAGAAAAAAACAGCAAAGACTTCAAAGTTGGTACTTTTCTTACAGAAAAGAAAACAAATAATGTAGTAAGTTTAAAGAAACAAAATAGATCATCAATGGCATGACTGGGAACAAGAGAACATCAAAAAAGAACAGAAATATTTTAAAAAGAAGCTAGTATAGTATCTTGAAAAATTATTTTTTTAAATAATTTCTCAGGGAGCATTTTCGAAGGAAAATAAATTCCTATACAACTACACATTTTGAAGTAAATCTTCAAAATACCAAAGATAAGATAAAGATCTTAAAGGCAACCAGAACTGGAAATAATTAACTAAAGCTAGAATATTATATCCAGTGAAACTATCTATCTTGAGCCGAGTATAATAAAGAACATTATGATAAATAAAAACTAAGAAGGCTTACCACCAAGAGACCCCACTTTTTTTTCCAGTGTTTGCAGTGACTTTTTTTCGTGTTTACATTTTATTTTTATTTTTCATGGGGGTATAATTGATTTACAATATTGTGTTAGTTTCAGGTGTACAGCAAAGTGATTCAGATGTTTATGTATATATTCTTTTTCAGATTCTTTTCCATTCTAGGTTATTACAAGCTAGTGAATATATTTCCCTGTGCTATACAGTAAATCCTTGTTGTTTATCTGTTTTATATATGGCAGTATCTATCTGTTAATCCCATACTCCTAATTTACCCCTCCCCCTACTTCCCCTTTGGTAATCATAAGTTTGTGTTCTATGTCTCTGAGTCTGTTTCTGTTTTGTAGACAGATTCTTTTGTATTATTTTTTAGATTCCACACATTTGTGATATCCATGATATTTGCCTTTTTCTTTCTGACTTTCTTCACTTTGTATGATAATCTCTACATCCATCCAAGTTACTGCAAATGGCAATATTTCATTCTTTTCTATGGCTGGATAATATTCCATTTTATACACACATACACACACACCTCACGTCTTCTTTATCCAGTCATCTGTTGATGGACACTTAGGTTGCTTCCACGTCTTGGCTATTGTAAATAGTGCTGCTATGAACATTGAAGTGCATGTATCTTTTCAACTTAGAGTTTTTGTCTTTTCTGGATATATGCCCAGGAGTGGGACTGCTGAATCATATAAGAGACTTCCACTTTTGAAGAAACTTTTAAAGGCTGCACCTCAAGAAAGAACAAAAATTATATCCAAAAGAATGCCTGGACTATAGAAAGAAAAGAAGAGCTTTTTTTTTTCTTTAATGAAAACATACATAAATTTAAACAAACACTGAGTATACAAAAAATCTAATTTGTGGGGTTAAAATAAATCGAGATAAAACTAAAATTCAAGATAAGAATCTCATATAACAAGGAGCATTCTAAAGGCACTATATATTTTTCAGGTAAAGGACAAGGCTATTGATTATCTTTAGAATTTGTTTAGTCAGGTGCACATGCTTTAAAAAAGAAAAAGATTTCAAAGGAAACCACTACAAAAGGAGAAATCCTCCTGAATGAGCAGTGGGTGGGGGGTTGAAGATGGGGAGAGGGAGAAATAAACCAAACCAATAAACGCTGAAGACGCTCGGAGAAGCACATGCTGCTACTGAAAACCAACACCGTGTTGTCTCCCTCCTGCTTCAGAAAGGTGTTGTTTCTTTAAACAAAGTTGATAATGTTCCATAAAACTTAACTACAAACTTTTTTGTCAGCAAGTCTTTGGATCTGAATCTCCGGGGCCTTCCTTGTGTTGTTTAAGGTGACTTGGCCTTATCCCGTCCACTAAAATATCTCTGAACAGACTCTGGGCCTTGCAGGGGCAAGAAACAGTAAATGAATATTCCAGTAGCAGGAAAGCCCTCCCCTCCCCGTCATTTCATAGCTTTCTCTTTAGGATACACTTTTCCAGGCAGTTTTCCTGATTGACCCAGGTAGGTAACGGAGCAGAAGGCAGGGAAATTCCCAGATGCCTCCCAGATTGAGTAAGGACAGCGACCACCCACATCACAGCAAACAACCCTTGGCCCCGGGCTGAGCCTGGAAAGCCCGGAGGAGGAGCCAGGAAGCGAACGGAGGAGGAGCTGCAGGCGGACAGGGGCTCCTTCCGCCCCTCCTGGTCCAAGCAGCGGTCAGCTCCCGGAGCGGGGGGGGGGACGGGGGACCAAGCTCTGAAGACTGCAGGCTCAAACATGAACACAACTGGGTGTTAAACACCAAATGTGAGACCACTTTAATGACCACGTTTAGGAATCTGGAATCTGGTGCTGTTATTAAAAGACCAGTATCCAAATGGGGAAATGAGGAGCCGACGAAACACGGTGGAAAGTAGTGATTGGAAACGAGTAACAGAACCATTTCCCGTTTACACTCTGAATGGTTTTAAATCCTTCAGTAAATATAAAGAGGCTTGGGATTATCTGCCTGACCCCATGTCAGGGTCATGAAGTGATTTCTAGCTGCGTGTATGCAGTTTGGCCACCAAGACTGCGCTGTGCAAATAGACAAATAGCCGTTGGTTTTTCTAAGTAAACAAAAGCAAGGGGTAAACTCTAAGTTTACCATGTACACATCTATCGAGGGGGAGAGGAGTGTGACATCTGATTTCCTACAGAAAAGGAAACCAAAGATGAGCAAACTCCCACAGCTATTCACAAATTGAGGAGAGGGAGGGCAGGGGAGACAGAAAATCGGGGAGGGTGGGGGAGTCCGGTGGAGGAGTCGCTTCCCCCAGAGACTTAGAAACTTCAGGGGGAAAAAAAGAGGTTGCCAGACTCTGACAGTAAGAGATGACTTCATGCTGCAAAACCAAAACGACAGCGTTTAAACAAATCATCAAGTTGACGTCTGTTTACCAGGATGAAAAATGAAAAGAACTTCTGTCTGATCTAGCCATAAAAGGACTGGTTTAGAAATACTGACGCACAGGAATGCACAGCATCTTAAGCTGAAAAAAGTAAAGCTGCCTCCTCTTCCCAGCATCTTCAGTTCTGCCCTGCTGTTGCTTCTTATCACGAAAATTCCTTTTTAGAACTCTAAGTTTATCGAGTACACATCTATCAAAATTTATCAAATTTTACATCTGGAATGTGTGTAGTTTACTGTACAGGAACCATACCACAATAAAGATGTTTTTTAATATATATAATATATATATTTTTTTAGGGTACAAACTTCCAGTTTTAAGATAAATGGGTACCAGGGATATAATGTACCATATGTTAAATAGAATTAACACTGCTATATGTTTTATGTGAAGGCTACTGGGAAGTGGGTTCTGGGAAGTCTCATCACAGGAAAAAAACTTTTTCTATTTCTTTAATTTTGTACCTGCGTGAGATGGTGGCTGTTCCCTGGGCTTGCGGTAATCACTTCATGATGTATGTGGGTCAAATCATTATGCTGTGTGCCTTAGATGTATTCAGTGCTGTATGTTAATTATATCTCAATAAAACTGGAAGAAAAAATAGGATTAAAAAAAAAACCTCTAAGGTTACCAAGTTCATAAAAAGAATGAAAACAAAGAGATCAAATTCAAGAGAGTCTGTCCTCTGTCTGAAAAAGCCCCCTAGATATCATTACCTGTGCTTCTCAAACTGTGCTGAGCCCAGGAAGCACCTGGGGATCTTGAGAAAATGCAAATCTTGGTTCGGAGGTCTAGGGTGGGGCAAAGAGATTGTGTCTCTAGCAAGCGCTCCGTGTTACCCATGCCACTGGTCCCAGAATCTGGGGGCAGGTGCACAGCTGGGGAAGCCAGAGTTCAGGATCCCTGAGTTCCGTCAGTCACCCAGCAGAACTACCCACTCCCTCCACTGGGGTCCCCAGCACCAGGATGGCAAACTCTATCTTAGGATTTGTGGACCATTTAGTCTCTGCTGAGACCACTCAACTCTACCTTTGCAGCATAGACAGTGTGGAAACCAGTAAGTGTGGCTGTGTTTCAATAAAACTTTATTTATAAAAACAGATGGCAGACCAGATTTGCCCCTCAGGTTATAATTTGCCAAACCCTGTCCAATACTCTGAACATAATTCTGTCTCATCTCTGTGACCTTTTATTACACAAGCCTGTTGACACATCTCTAAGGACTAGGCCAGTGAGGAGCCCTCCACTCTAAATTCCCACAGCAGGGCCACGCCTCGCTCATCCCAGCAGCTCTGCACCTGTCAGCGCAGCCTTGCAGGGCAGGACTGTGCAGTGGGCAAAGGGGGGCTCCCCAGCCACTTCTGTTGTGGGTCTGCTAAGTCGTAATAAAGCCTGCCTCTCAGAGAAGAAGAGAGAGGGGGAGGGAGGGAGAAAGAGAGAGAGAAAGAAAGAAAAAGGAAGGAAGGATGGGAAGGAGGGAGGGAGGAAAAATCTTGTTCCATCCCTCACATAATTCTGTAAAACCCAAACCAGTTATAGATGCTTGAAGACAATCTTGGTAGGTTAAAAACGTTCTCAGTCTATGAGGGTTATTTTCACTTTACATTGAACAGAAAGAAATCCTAACAAGGAGTTTTTGCACTTGGGATATAGAGCAGAACATAATTAAATTGAGTCTTATTGGAACCTTGTGGCCATAAGATAAATAACTTTTGTTTAATTCCTTGTGTATCAACACACCACGCATATCAACAAAGGGAGACCACATCCTTCCTGCACAAAATTTTTGTTTGTAGTCGATTCTCTTTAATCAGCATTGAGGAAAACATGACAATACCTGTCCATTGAATTGAGGACACGAGTAGGAGAGTGGGTGAGGGGGAGAGGAGGCGGGGCCAAAGGAAGCAAGTGTGAGGGACAGGGCAGGGAGGGGCCCTGGGGAGCATGTGCCCCTCTGCACAGGCCCTGGGCTGCTCTGGAAGGACGTGCAGGGTCCAGGCAAGGTCTTGGGCTGCTCACAGGACAATGGTAGCTGTGGGCTTCTCCTTGGAGGGGGAGCGAGGCACTGAGTTCTCCCCTAGTAGCTTCCTCTCTGACCCTTCCTCATCCTGGAGGGGAAGAAAACAGGAGGAAAATCAATTCTCGGGAGGAAAAGTATGGGGCAGTTAGCTCCATAGAACCAGGTACAAGGCAAAAGAGGGAAGCAGGGGAGGAAAAGGTGATGGGGAAGGGGAGCTAGACAAGATTTAGGACAAAAAAGAGGGGAAGTGAGGAAATGAGAGTAAAGGAGCTCAAGGGGAAGCAGAGGGCAGAAGGTAACCCAGGACAGAGTGTTGGGGTCATGTTCTCACATTCCCCAGACAGCAAAGGGCAGAGCCGAGCATGGGAAAAAAGTGGAGTGAGGTGGAGCATGACCACTGCAAAGCAGTGTTCCTGGCCCTGATGTCCCACTCTGTCCCTGCAGCCTCACCCACCAGACCCAGTCTTTCCCTAATGCCCCCCCAACAGCTCACCAGGGCCCGGGAGCTCTGGCCACACAAGCTTCGAAGACCTATGACCAAGGAAGCCAAGGATACAATGACCTGCAGGACACAGATGGCCAGGAGCAGAGCGCGGATTCCCAGGAAGAAGTTCTGAAGATAAAGGGAGAAAAAGATTACAGTTGGGAGTCCACTCCTCTGATTCTGTTACTCTCACCTTGTCGCCCCAGCAGGTATCAGACTCTGTCCAACTAACTACTTCCCACCAAAGCAGATGGCATTTTCCAACTATGGGGCCAGCCGCAGATTCCACTCCATTTGCTGGTCTGCAGTGTGACCTAACCACCCCCCTAGGGAGAGGTGGGGGTTCTATTGCTTCACCCCTAGATTCCAGAGGGGCCTGAGAATGCTTTGATCAATAAAATACAGTGCAAATGACCCTATGCCAATGACGGAGTAGCCCTTAACTGGCCTGGAAGCTTCCATTTCCTACTTCTTGAAATGCTCACTGGGATGCTCCCTTTGGGACCTAGTTGCTGGGCTATGAGAAGCCCAAGCCACTTGGAGAAGTCATTGTAGGCTCCTTGGCTGAGAGCCCCAGCTGAGGTCCCTGCCACGTGAGTGTGCCATCTTGGCAGTCCAGCCCAATCGAGCTCTTGAATGACTTCACCCCCAATTGACATCTGACTGCAACTGCATGAAAAAATCCAAGTGAGGACTCCCCACATGAGCCTAATCAACCCACAGGATGGGAGAAATAATAATAAACTGTGGTGCTAAGCCACTACATTGTGGGGTGGTGTGTTACGCAGCAGTGGGTAACTGGAACAGCCACACACTAGAAAAGACAGAAGGATGGTTCATCACATCCTCTCTTTGACGTCTCCCCTTTGCTCGTCATCCCCTGTGATTTAGGGAAATTTCATGAAGACCTGAACAATGTCTTGAGCATAAGTTAAAACCTCCTGAACCAAAGACCTAGGATGAGGTCCAAGCTCAAAGAGCCGACATCTCTGCCCTCCGGTGCCCCAGCTCCCCAGTTCATAGTTGTGATGCGTCCCTGGAAGGCTGGACTCTCCTTTCTCACCATCAGCATTTGCATGTAGTTTCTGCAGCGATCCTCCTCCCACAGTGTATAGGAACTGCCTCGCCTCCTCTGACGGTACGCAGCGGTGGTGGTGACAGGGACTAAAGAATGACACACGGAGCTGATGTCGAAGAAGCCATCAGGTTGCCAGATTAAGCTATTCACACAGAGGACAACAGCAGCCGTGGCCGTGGCAATGCCAGCCAGGATGAGCAGGCCTGATACGCAGCCCTAGAAGAGACAGGTGCAGGATACAGACTCCCTCTTTCCGGTCTCCTCTTCCCCCACCTTTCGGGCCCAGGAAACCTTCCCTACTTCTCCAGGAAAGATCCCAGGATATTTGAAACCAAAGGGGAGAGGACAGAAAAATAGGGCAGAAAAACTGAGACATAGGAGGGGGCAGAAGACAAGGTGGGGGTGGAGGATGCCTAAGACTCACTGAAAGTTTGCCCCGGTGCTTCTCATGAGCAATGGCCCCAGCTCCTGCTGCTATGGCCTAGGAAGAGAAGACACCGGAAAAATCTGCAGTTTAGTTTCCTGAAATATCCCCCATCACCCTTCTCCCCAAAGACCCCAGAATACCCAATTTGAAGCAGGATCCAAGGGCAGGCAGAGAATCCTAGCAAGTGGACTGGACTCCAGTTACAACTGCTCCACACTTCCCAGCCTCGCCTCAAGAGGAAAATGGCGCGTGGAAGGATTTTGCCCATGCCCTAAGGCAGCTTCTTCCCGGCAAAGGGCCTTTGGGCTCTGGGTCTTTGGTCTTTTCCCCAAATCCCTGACCCAGATCCAAAGGAACTTTCTTTCTTTTTTTGTCCATAACCACTTGCCTCCCACTGAGCTCACAACCCCAGCCTTACTCACCACAGACCCTGCCCAGAAGGCACAGCCTGAGGCACGCAGCTCAGTCCAGGGCCCCAAGTAGAGAAGGGCTCCGAGAGCACAGCTCACAGCCCCTAGCAGCACCTGGGCCACCTGTAAGACACGGGCAATGCCAGGCCCCTTCCCATGAGCCCACGCCCCCGGGACCAGCCGCCCAGCTCCCACCCACGCGGCCTTCCTCCCCTTTCCTCTGCTTTGACTTCTCCGCAGCTCTGGCTCTGGAAATTCCCTTAACATCCACAAAGCAGCACGTCCTGGGTCTGACTTCCCAGGCTTTTATCCTTCATTGTTTTCCTCAGTACCACACTTTGTCATCCCACCTGGTGATTCCTGCTTTATTTTCCCTCAATTTCCCTTGCGAAGCCCATCACCCTGCCCAGGAGGGGTCACAAAGACCTCCTTCGAGAACAGGGTGTGGTTAGCTGAGAGCCGACAGGGGTCAGCGACTTCAGGGTCCCCTCATCTTTCAAGTTGAGGGCACACTCTTTAGGGATGGCCGCCCAGCCAAATGATTAGACAAGGCGGGGTTACGAGGACCATGTCCGCCTAACATGGAACTCCTGTAATGAGCAGTCTTTGCTCCCAAGCTCCCCGCTAGGCTGGCACAGACCCTGTCTGCATCATGAGCTGATGTCTCCCTTGCCCAAACCTGCCCTTGCCCTTTTCCCTTCATGGGTGTTACACCCCAGTAAATGTCCTGTACCCCCCAGCAACAACTCATCCACTTGCTGCAGGATCCAGCTATCACAGCCTTTTAGACATCACCACCTACGTGTCCTGCTGGCCTCTCGGATCCATCACATCCCCACCCCCATCCCCACCCCCAGTGTCTTCCTTCCTGACTTCCAGAGCTCCAATCTTCTGGTCACCCAAACTCCAAACCTCAGCATCTTCTCAGACTCCTCTCCTCCCTTGTAGCCCCAGTGCATTCACTCCCACGTCATGGAGACCCGCATCCACAAAGGATGGGCTCCTCTCTTTCCTCATCATTTCTGCTCTGACCTTGCAGGAGCAGAACCTCTATACTTCTTACCTGGACACCTCCTGGCTGTGAGGCAGCCGAAAGCTCAGGCTCCTGCTCAGAATCCATCCACAGCCTTCCCACCATCGAAGGTGATTCGGGACAGGCTCCTCACCCTGTCACTCAGGCTCTCAGCACTATGGCGCTGAGCTAGGTCTGCATTTCCAGCCTCATCAGCCAGGAGTCTCATTCTCTTTACTCCAACAGAACTTGCCCTGTGCTTTCTGGCTTCGTTGCCCTTGTTCCTGCCATTCTTTGAACCTGGGATTCCTCTTCTTCCATCTTCCACCTCTGTCTAAACACATTTCTTCATTCAAGATCCAGTTCAGATGGCAACCCCTACAGGACGCTGTCCTGCCTCCCAAGATGTCACCTGATCTGCCTTTAATTCTTGGTATTTGTGTGCTTGCCTGATCCCTTCTGATGGGTGCTGGGCACTGTCGGGTCCTCGTCTCGGGATTCGCTCTGTAGTTTTCCCCCAAAGTGCCTACCATATTGCCGGGCGTCTGCCGGTCCTCTGTCCACGCGGGTTCAATTAACCTGAATTAACAGCCTCCAGGGAGTCTCCACCATCCCCCACCTCCGGCTGGGACTGCGCACGTTGCACCAAAGAAGAGGGCCATCATTCCTTTCCATCCCAAACTCTGTAGTGAAACTCCCAAAACCTTCTTTTCCCAAACAAGATGGGATATGAATAGTGGGTTTTCATGGGGTTTCAACCCACTTGCCTTTTTTGCATCCTGTTGAAGAAGGAGTGTTACCCTCCTCAGTGTCACCCTGCTAACTCCCCCTCCAGCCCGCTCTTACCCCTAGTGCCAGCTGGCCATGGCTTATCCTGGCCTTGGAAGGGCGGTGAGAAAGGCGCTCCTTCAGGGAATTCCCAGCTTTTAGCAGTTGTGCCAAAGCGGATTCCTGGTGGATGTGGATGTCGATGTGGGTGGGCTGGGACAGCGTGGAGGCCACATCGACCCCATTCACAGTCAGCATGTTTTGGGTCATCCTGCCTGCTAGGGAGATGTACGGAGGTGGAGTCTGGGAACTAGGTAGGGTAAAAAGGAATACATTGCCTGAGTGCAGAGAAAGAAAACAGTCTCCTTGTCAAGGGTCTTCCCAGTGCAGGTGTCCATGTCACAGTGCCCTTAACCTGGGATGCAAATCTGAATCACCACACATATTCTTGGACATACCCTTAAATGGTCGGATACAGTTTGTCTGGGTCTTGGGATTGACAAAGGTAAGAATCTGAATTATTTCAGCAACTTAGTATATATATTTATGCATAATACTTTCATTTGATTAGAAAAATCAGAAGATATAAAAAGGTGTACCTTTAAAACCCTCTCTCCTATCTTCCTCTCTCAGCTAGCTAGTTACCTTCCAGGTGGAAAAATACTATCATTTTCTTACATCCCCTACAATGACTTTTTTGTAACATAAAAACATGTAAAAATATTCTTTTTCTCCCCTCTTTCCCACAAATGGCAGGATGCTACACACACAGCTTCTGCACAATGATTTGTTCACAAAACCCAGTTTTAAAAATAATCCTGCATAGGAAACTATATTCAATATCCTGTAATAAAGCATAATGGACATGAATATGAAATATATACACATACATATAACTGAATCACTTTGCTGTACACCAGAAAGTAACACAACACTGTGAAAATTTTTTAAATATAAAATAAATAAAAAGAAGAAAAGAATCCTACATTGCTCCAGAAAATGCCTCCTTGCTCATTTGTATGGCTGTATAGTATTCCATTGTGTGACTGCATCATAATTTTTCAAACAGTCCCTTACTCATAGACATTTATGTTTTTCTTACAAACAGTATGGTATGGAGTTGGCAGGTCAGTAGGACTGTGCATTTGTCATTTTAATAAATATTACCCTCCATGGAGCTACAGCATGCAATTCACATATAGAAGCAAGTTCCAAGAGTCTCCACTGCCCATCCCCATGGCTAGCAGAAGGTGTCAGCAAACTGAAATGTTTTTCAAATGTATATAAGGAAAATTACATTCTGTTGTAGATTCTAATCCTTTTTATGCAATAAAATACCCTCTTTTAATTGTGTGTCTCAAGGAGTTTTAACAAATGTGAAAATTTTTACAACCATAACTACAATCAAGATATAGAACATTTCTGCGTTGCAAAAAGTTCCCTAGTGTCCTCTCCCCAGTAAACTTTCCCCAAGCCCTGCTCCCAGGTAACCAATAATCAGCTTTCTGTGACTATTCCAGTAGCGTTAGTTCTTTTATTATGAATGAAGTTGGTCATCTTTTTTTACCCTTCTTTTGTGAGCTTTCCATTCATGTCCTATGACCTGCCTGTTTTACTTTGTTTTGTTTTGGTCTTTATAGGAGTTCTTTGTGTATTTGAGAATTACCGTCTGTCACTTGAGTTCCAAATACTGCTTCACAGTTTATGATTTATCCTTTGACTTTGCTCATATTTTCATTTTATCAAAGTTTTCAATCATTTTTTATGATTTCTGAGTTTTATAACATACTTAGAAAGGACTTTCCCGTCTCAAAGTTATAAAATAATTCTTCTATGTTTTCTTCTAAGTGTTTTTATGTTTTCAGTTTTCACATTTAAATGTTGATCCGTCTGGAATTTATCTTGTAAGTAAGTTGTAAAGAATGGATCCAAGTTAGTTTTATTTTGTATTTTTCAGATGGTTGACTTCTGAAGACTATGTTCTGTTTATCATCTTTCTGCCACTGACTAAAATGCTCCCCTGAGCAAAAATGCAATTCCCATAGGAATCCAAGTCTATTTTAGTCTTTACATTCTGCCCACTGGTGGGTCTGATGATACATCATCACCATAATTTTAATTGTGAGTATAGAGTTTAATATTTAGTTGAGCTATTTCATGACCCCACTCCATGTTACTTTTTTCTTTCATGACCATTTTTGCTTAACTGCTTCTCCTCATACACTTTAAAATCAACTTGCCCAGGTCCAAAAGAAATCCTCTACAGGTGATTCTCATGGACATCCTACTTACATGTCGCTGTTTAAATCGTAATATTATTAATAACAGTTCTAATAACATCAGCAACAACAGTAAGCTTAAAGTCTTCCCACTTGTAATCTATGCGCTCTTCAGAGAAGTTTCACTCTCTCACCTGCCTGGTCTCCTTTGAGCTATAAACGACAGATGTTTGACAATTCTGCAAATGCACAAAGCGGTTCATACTTGTTCACAGACACACAAGGAAGTCCAGCCTGGATTCTAACCAGATCTTCCTTAGGGCTCAAGAGTCAGCATCATGCTGCAGTCATGAATGTGCCTTGGGCTCCAGCTCCCTCTGAACACCCTGGGTACCACCGCTACCCCCACCCACCTACCCTGGACTCCAAACCCCAGATTATCCTAGCTTCCTGCTCTTCCTCTGAGCCAGGCCAGCCCCGTGAAGATTCCCCACCCTGACTCCATGCTGTGGGCTCTTTCTTGGTGCCCTGGATACTACCTCTGCCTGATTCCTCTCAGTGACTCTAAAGCTGGGGAGAGAGGGCCAGCATCCCGGCTACACCCTGGGCCCTCCACCTCCACCTTTACTAGCAAAGGATCTCTCATCACAAAAGCACCTGAGCTTCAGCCACCCAACCCTCAATAAAGGCATGAAGCACTGGTGAGGGTGAGGGAGAGCCAGGTTGACGTGGCTGGGCACGGGACCCCCACCCTCCCCAGCCATCCTTCTAGGGTCACACCCTCTATCCAGTGCGTCCCTCTCTCCCAAGTAAGTCCTCTGGGAACCAGGAATGGGGGGAGAATGACATCCTGTGAGACAGGATGGGAACTCTGGGGACTGGTCTTGGAGACCCCTTGAGAGAAAGGGAGAGGGGTCCTGCAGTGAGAGTCTCTTGGGAGGGAATCACCCGGGCTGTCAGGACCCTGCTCACCTGCCGTCACCAGTGCTGAGCAGAGCAGAGCTGGGAGGAGCTGCCCCAGAGCTGAGGAACCTGCCAGTGGTGGGGAGCCGAAGGAAGCGGTGGAGGGATGAGGCCCTGACCTTCAGCATCTTGACTTCCCAGAAAATAGCTGGGCCAAGGGGGCCCCTCTAGGGGGATTCCGTCTTGGGTAGATAATGAGGCTGGCTGGAGAAGACAGCACCCCCCTACACACATACACACTGGCACACTCATACCCACTCAGACAGCACACACTCGCAGCACGGAGTTCAGAAAGCCCTTGCTGGGCGGGATAGGGAGAGAACACGCTCATAGGGCTCCTCCAGGCTGGTCAGCTCCATGGTCTCCCAAGCCACCCACCTCACCCCGACACTCTCCAGGGCATCGGAGCCCAGTCACCACCACCCCCCCCCCCGGCAGCTGGAAAACCCTGGAGGGACCCTTTACACCAGCTGTGTGCTGGGAAGTTGCCTCATCTTTCTCTTCCTGGCACTCCACCAGCCCCCTCCCCTTTCTGCCCTGTTCTCAGCACCACCCCCTCCCCAGCCCTCCCCAGCCCTCCCCATCACAAGGCACACTGGGACTCAGCACACTCGACTGCCAGCCCAGCCACTGGTCCCTGAGGAGAGCAGGTGAGGCAGGCCCTCGGCCCAGGGGCCCTTTCCCAGAGACCCTTCTCACAGGACCCCTCCCCAGAGGATTCCCCACCCTGATCCCTCAAGGGCCGCCCAAAACTTGCTTAGGAAGAAGGGAGGGAGGGAGGGAGGAACCAACCACCATGGAGAGGCTGTGCCTTCAGGGTGGTGACAGGAGCAGAGGCCAGGTACAATTCTGTCCCTGTTCGATGCCAAGTCATTCTGGCTTTTGACCTCCATCTCCAGCCACGACATGGTCTTTCATAGGGTTGAGGGGGTGCGGGGCGCTGTGTGAACTGGCAGTGCAGGGCTGAGTAGCCATGGGTGGAGAGGGAGGTACTTAGGGGCTGGGGTGGGGGCGGTCGCTAGGCCCACCTGGGAAGCAGCTGTCTCAATAGAAGTTCAACAGGCAGCCAGGACTCAGTTCTGTCCAGCAGCCTGAGGGCTCTGGGGAGAAGGGGTGGGCAGAGGAGCCAGGGTCGGGCCCATGGCTGCACAAGCAGGCTGGGAGCAGAAAGCCAAGGGGTGTGGATTACGGGTGCTGCTTGGTCCAGACCCCCCCCACCCAGCCGTGGGAGGAGGTTAGGGAGACAGAGCAGATCTGGGATGAAGAGGGAGGCTCCAGTGGGCTCAGTGGTGGCCACAGCGTCAGGGCGGTCAGGGATTTCTCACATGACACATCTCAAGTCCAGGATGCAGCTCTGTGACCAGGGCCTCCGCCAGTTTCCAGCTCCAGGAAAATCTGTAAAAACCTTCTGTGGACTTTTTGGCCCTGACACTCCTTTCCTCCCTCCCAGACGGATGTCCACAGGCATGGAGACCGTAGACAGTGGGGAGGTGGCCCCTGAGGCTCCCCAGCCCACATGCATCCGGGTGCACGTCCACCAGGAGTCTGCGCTGGCCAAGCTCCTGCTGAGCAGCTGCTCCCTGCTGCAGCCCCTCGTCCCTGCGCCCGGCCCGGCCTCCCGGCCCTTGAGCAGCCACCGGCTGCTTGTGGCCTCCTGGGTGAGTAGGGCTGCCTGCCTCGCAGCGTGGAGGGGCTCGCAGGCTCCCAGGACCAGGAGAGGAAGACCCCTTCTCTTGTGGTGCACAATCTGTGCCAGCCTCTTTCTGAACAAGCCCCTGGGCCAGTTTTATCTTGTTACTAGAATCAAGTTCTGGCTTTTCCCTCACTGGCCTTCTCAGTAAAAGCTGTGAGTCGGGTAGGCTCAGGGCTAAAGGGCTGTGAAGGAGCCACTGACCATTTAAAGTCCCAGCTGGTGGGGCCCTGAGTCCATCCTCTCCCCTGGGCCAGACTCAGCATGGGCTGGCTCTCCCCTACCCTCCACAGCCCTCCCTTCCCGTCCTCTCCCATCTCCTCTCCTTCCCTCTCCTCTCCTTCTCCCTCCCTGCCTCTTACCCTCTCCTCTTTCTCTTTCTCTTTCTCTTTCTCGGGGTTCTAACTGTTAATACTCAGAGTGGCAGGTCCTCAAAGCTACCCTGAGCCTTAGGCGCAGAGGGCTGCTCCGGGACCCAGGAACCTGGGATCCGGGTTCTTAGGTTTTTCATGTCTCAGGCAGCGCAGATCACGCTGGGGATACTGAGTGGGGTCCTGGGAGGACTCCTCTACATCTTCTACAACTCCGCCATGCGTGCATCGGGCGCTGCCATCTGGACAGGGGACTGTGGTGAGTGGGGCCGGAGGATGGTGGGCAGGTGGACCTCCTGTCAGCGGTGACAGACCACCACCCTCGACCCCATCAGAATGCAGACTGTTAACAATGGAAAAGACTCCAAGCTCTCCAGGCCAACACCCTGCTTCTACAGACAAGAAACGCACCAAGCTAAGGGCGGGGGTGGCCACTGTCCCTGGTCAGCTGTCCTGGTTCCCTACCCCGAGCTCCTCCCATCACTTCTTCCACCTTCAACAGCAAATATCAGCTAAGGATTTAGGACCTGGCTCACCTCCAGACTCTTGCATTGAGATGGGGGAAGCAGAACGTGCTGGAGGGTGCATACTCTGCAAGGAAGGCTCAGCTCCCTGGAGGCTTCCCATTGCCCTCTGCACACAGCGGGAATCCAGGGGGAATCCATATCACAGCAGTGCTTATGTCAAGAGATGGGTGTGTGCAATCCACAGTGGGAACTCGGTGGGGGGGGGAGGGGGTCCTGGTAGGATGGGGGCAGGGCCCTTTGGCACACCCACAGAATAGCAGCCAAACACATATTTATTGAGAGGGCAGTCGAAAGTAATCATCTTCATCCACCCAACGGCGGAAACACTGAGATGAGTTACAGACTCTCCACACTGAATTGGGGCGCCTCTTTCCACTGGGAGCAGCCAGGCTTCCTGCTCCATGAGCCCAGCAGGCTGGGTGGCTGGGTGCCACAGGGTGCCTACCCCCGAGGCAGGGAGACTCATCCCATACTGAGAGCTTCTCCACCAACCTGGACTTCCACCTCGCCACCCTGGAGCTTTCAGAAAGCACATGGTGTTGCTTCAAAAGGGAGGTTTTGGAGAAGGGAAGGAGGGCTCACCCCTTGTTTGACCGTAAGCACTTTTCAATGTCACTAAAACAGAGGGTCCTGCAGCCTCGGGGTTGAAGTCAGGCCTCAACACCCTCACCATTATCTTACACACAGCAGAGCTCAGCTCACAATCTCGGGTCCACATGGAATGTTCTGGGGAAGGGCCAGCCCGATGGTTGGCTCTATCAGTGGGGGCCGTGGTGGGAAAGGGAAGCAGGCAGCTGGAGGGGCTGGCGTTTCCCGCACCACCCCCGCTCCTGCTTCCATCTCTCCCCAGGCTGTGCTGGCTGGAGCTGTCGCCTTCATTTATGAGAAACGAGGTGGCATCTACTGGGTGAGTTCAGGGAAGGGCATGGGTTGACACCACACCCAGAAGCTGGAAGCCACTCCAAGCCTCCTGCCCTGTCACCTGCCAGGTCCTGGGGGCTCCCCCCATCTTAGCCCGAAGCTGGGCTCCGGAAGGCCGAATCACCTGGCTCTCTCTCTGCCTCCTCTCCTCCCCAGGCCCTGCTGAGGACCCTGCTCGCCCTGGGAGCTTTCTCCACGGCCATGGCCGCCATCATCACTGGGGCTAGCGGTTTCCATGAGTACTCCTTTTATTTTTATGACAGTATCTGTGATACCTCCCCATCCTGGGGGCCCACCAGGCCCCCCGGCTCTCCAAATCCAGATGTCGGAAGGCTACAGCTCTGCATCTCCTACTTGGACATGCTGAAGGTAGCAGAGCCGGGGACCAGCTCAGCAGGAGACAGTGGGCAGGGAGGCCAAGATAGTGGGCGACAGTGAGGCTGACCATCAAAAACAGTGTGACCTGTTCGACACCAAGTGTGACCACCGTTACTACAGATGGGGCACGGAAGCAGTTCCTGAGGTTGTGGGTGGGACAGATTAGTGGAAATAGAAACACTGAAATCACCGTGAATGAGCTGATGTTGCAAATGTGTGAGGTGCTGCAAAGGTGTGCAAACCCTTGGTCCTCTCAAGTCTTGGGCTTGTCAGGGAGCCAAATCACAGCCCAAGCCCATCACTGTTCAGGTGAGGACACTGAGGCCCGATGAGAAGGTCTTCTGGCTGCTCTCTGAAGGCTACATCCACTGACCCGCCTCCACACTGGGCTCCTTCCTCAGAGATGCATGGGCTGGATGGTTACCTTGTATCATTGAGGAGCGTGGAGACAGAGCACAGATGGCAACTGTCGCTCTGGTGCCTACAGCTTTGATTCTCTGTCCCCAGGCCATGGTCAGAAGCCTTCAGGGCCTGCTATTAGGTGTCTGGGTTCTGCTCCTTTTGGCGTCTCTGGTCCCCCTGTGTCTGTACTGCTGGAAAAGACGCCGACCTAAGGAGGTGAGTCCCTAAACTGTGTGTCTGTGTATTTGGGGCAGCGGGGCTGTCCAGAGGAGACAGGAATGGAGAGTGGATGTTTTGGGGAAGAGAAAAGGGTGGTTACAGTGAGTCTCAAGGGGCATCAATCCTGTCTTTCTACCCCAGGAGTGGCCCAGCCCAGGGAGTCCCTGTCTCTGACCAAGTGGGACATATCCAGTCCAAAGACCCTGGGAAGCCAGGGAAGTCCATATCCGGGGTGGGACCTTGCTCTTTGCATCAGATACCAGGAGGCTGATGTTGGATCTGATTGGCTGCAGAACTAAGCTGCTCTAGGGGACAGAATTCACTCTTTCTCTCCTTCTTGGGTTGTCTCACCCCTCCTTTTAGAAAAGAGACCTTCCCTTAGAAGAAACTGCTGGAGGCCAGTGAAATCTAGCCCTGACTCTCTGGAGGACTTCTGCTTGGAAGTCAGCCTCTGGACCAGGTGGCCCTGCATCTGCATTCTGGAAGAAGGACCAGACTGAGAAGATGCTCCCCACTCGCCCCGGTCGGCCGTCCCCCACAGCCACACTCCGCCCTGCTCCTGCACCCATCACGGCTGCTGTCGCCCGGCACCTTCACCATCCTGCCTGCTTCATGTCCCCTCCTGAGCAGTGATGAAAATAAACTCTCTGTTGTTGCTCCCAGCTTCTCACTTAGGGAATTTCTCTTGGCTGGAGGGAGGCAGTGGACAATGAGCCAACAGCAAACCTACAAAGCTCCTCCAACTCCTGACCTCCTATCTGGGTCTAGTGTTGCTGGCCCTGAAAACAGTCTCTCTTTGAGGGCTGGTCCTGGGACTGTACGTCCAAATGCCTGGGGACAC